TGCCTGTGCCTGCCGCGCCCTCGCCACATTGTCTCCGTGATGAGGCTCGGCGCCGCCCTGGGGCTGCCCTGCGGCGGTGTCTGCCCGCTCGGGCTTGGACTGGAGGTCCCATGGCAGGCCCGCGAATCTGTTCAGCGCGTCCACGTTGAACCTCCGCTCCTTCGGCTGCCTCCCGATCGCCTGGTGCCAACTGGTCTGCCGCGACCCGCCGACCAAGTGCTCGTCGCTCTCCTCGGTCTTGCCCAGCCAGACACCCAAGCGCCACTGAGCCTCTGCCTCTGCGTGCGGTCGCCTGGCACGCGTGCCCAGACAACCTTTCCGAGCGTGGCCACGCCCCCGCGGTGCGGCCTGCCTCGATTGACGTGGGAGGCCGTCATGCCAGCGGCCTGCCTGACAGCAAACCGTGCGAGGGGCCATCCAGCGTGTCTGACCACCCACGGCATCACCCTGTGGAACACGGGGATGCGCGCGCCCATGCCGGACCACCTGGTCGCTCATGGCCTCGATGACACCCATCGACGCGTGGCTTGTGGCAGGCGCTGCCGTGAGCTGGCATTTGAAGCCCTTCAGCTTCCTTTCTTCAGAGATCTGCTCGGCCAGCGCCTTGGCTGCTGGCACCTGGTCGGTGCGCAAGATGCGCTCCGCGATGCCCCGGGCGGCGATGGCCGCACTCGCCGCAATGGACATGAAGGGGTGCATGCCCTTCGGCCTCGGGACCGCGTGCGCCGCGGCCGACTGGCGGTGCGCCACCGCCGGCGCGTTGGGCAGCACCTCCACGCCGTCGCCAGCCACCGGGTCCACCAGCTGCGGCATCAGGACGGCCTGGTCGATATTCCGATCCGCTGGAGCCAACCAAGCCATGCTGTCGGCTGAGGCCGCCAGCTCCGCAGCTGTGACCACGGCGCCGAGTTGTAGGTAGTCCATCTGCACCTCGTCGATGCTGCCAGGCCCGCCGCCGTGTCGGCGAGGGCCGTCTGCCGCCTTGGCGGGCGCGCACTTGTCGCGCCAACCTTGCGGTGGGAGGTGAGCGAGCTCGTGCTGGTCGATCTCCCCCTGGCTGGGGAGCGGTGGCGCCCGCTTCGCCCTCGCTGTCACCCCGCCGGGCTCCGCCTCTGCCAGCGGCGCCTCCTCGTGTTGCGGCTGCTCGGCCGCCGCGGGGGCTGCTGCCGCGGGCGCCTCGGCCCCGACTGGGTTGAGCCGCGGCGTCTCGGACGCCGTCGCGGTGCCTCCCGCGACGCGCCCTCGCATCCAGAACAGGTTGTCCTGCCGCGCCAGAGGCGCGTTGGCGATGCCCTCAGATAGGCCGAGCGACGCGGGCGCGATGTGCGAGCCCGTCGGTGAGAACAGCGCAGAGTGGCCATTGTCGCATGCCTCGGCCACCCCCATGATGGGATGCGAGACGTCGGCGACCTGGTAGTCGATGCCCACTCCGTGCACGTCTGAGCAATCCAGCCGGTTGTACTGCGCGCTCTTCTCGCCGTGGTGCTTCGCGCGCCCGTCGTCCGCAGCGCGGATGTCGTAGACCTGCGTGGGCCCCCGCATCGCCGCGCTCGGGGCGTGGCTGAATGGGCGCGTCGCTCTGGGGGCCCCCGAGTCCACCGTGATGTGCCCCTCGTAGCTCTCGTCGTCGCCACCTGAGCCGCCGCCCACTGGAGCTCGCAGCATCGAGATCCGGCTCGCGGGGTCCGCAGTCTGGGCCGCCAGGCGCAGCGCCCGCTGGATGGCGGACGCGGCGTCTCCTGCTGCCCCGCTGCCCGTTGAGCTGGCGCCGCCGCCGCTCGGAGCGGCCGCCGAGCTTGCCGTTGAGAGCTGCGCGGCGTTGGCCCGTGCCTGGGTGATGCTGCCCGGCGCCGCGGAAGGCGCGCTCGATGCTGTTGAGCTCGTCGCAGGCTTAAGTAGCTGAACCAAGTTCAGCGCGTCCTCCAACTCGATCGTCTTGCTAGCTGTGCTGTTCACTCTCGTAGTCTGGTCAGGGCAATATCTCGCCAGATGACACTTCTGATGGCACCTCCTGCACGTCCGTGTCTCGACGCGCTGCCCATCATTGCCATCTCTGCCCTTGCCGTCCCTCTGCGTCCCCTTGCCCTTGCCCTTCTTGATGACGTTTGCGACCATCGCCACCCCGGCTGGCGCCACCCCTCCGGCTGCCAACGTCGTCGCCAGGGACCCGATGTCCATCGGTGCTGGCCCGCTGTCGTCCGCCGCGGTGGCCCCCGCTGCGGTGCCTCTTGCAGCATCCTTGAACGTCTTCCTGTCCGTCAGGTGCGTCTTCCCGTGCTTTGCGACCCCGTCGTAGTCCCCGAGGCGGTCGGCGTTGACCATCAGCCGCTGCTGAATGCCCCTGTCCTGGGCCCCCGCTATGAGGACCGCCGCCTTGATGTCGCTGGGCACCGCGCTGCCGTGCCGCTCGTGCGTCTGGGCCGCCGCGTCGAACTCGTTCATGTCCGTCTCGATCGTCGCCGCTCCGAACGTCCACCCCATCAGCTTCCCCATTCGTCCCAGAGCTGACGCTGGCTGGTCGGGCTCGAACTCCTTCGCGAGCTTGCGCCACACCAGCAGTCCTTCGCCCTTTGGAATCGGCCGCTGCATGGCGAACGCCTCGCCTTCGAGGGGCAGCGCGAGCATGTGGTGCAGCTGCCGAGGCGAGCCGACGAGCGCTGGGTTCATCAGGTCCAGCGCCTCTTCGGCCTTCTGCCCGACCGCGATCATCTCCTGATGCAGCTCGTCGTCCAGCGTCGCGATGTGCGCCGGCAGCTTGAACGACCGCGCGGGCCACGCTGCCTCGCTGCCCTTGAACTGGGCTGGCTTCGTCAGCAACTTCGTGTCGATGATGCCCCACTTCCGACGATCCTCGCTCCTCGCTGGCGCGCTCAACTCGCCGCCGCGGCGCCCCCCGCGGCGGTCAGCTGCTGAAGCGCCTGCTGAAGCCGCTGAAGATGAGCGTTCTGCTATCTGGCGGTCGTCTCTGCTCGCGCCTTCAGCTCCTGGGCTCGCTTCTCTGCAGCCTCCGCTCGAGCCGTCGCCGTCCGCAGCGCATCTAGAACCTGCTGGGCCGTCGGCTGCTGCTGCTGCTGCTGCTGCTGCTGCTGCGGCAAGACTCCAGCTGCAGCTGCGGCCGCGGCTGCGGGGTCGCCCGCTGCCTGCTGCGCCGCTGCTGCTCGCTGCTCCTCCTCCATCCCTGAACCTCCACGCTACGAAGGCCGCGTGGGCCTCGCTCTCGTGGGGAATAAAGGAGTTGCCGTCTTTGTTCATGACGTCGAGCGGCCACGCGTGACCAAGTTTCTTGTCGAAAACGACGTCCGCGAACACGCGGTGCGTGAACATTGGCAGGTCGAGCTCACGCCCGACGATCTTCTCTACGAGGCTCGGCGCCGACTCCAGCAGCCTGCAGACGTCTCCGCGTCGCTGCCGTCGCCAGGCGGCGTCCTCTGACCGCCGCCGCCCGCGCTGCTTCTTCTGCTTCTTCCGCCCCGTCGCTGCCGCGCCCGCCGAGGGTCCTTCCTGCCTCGGCCCGCAAGGGGTATGGGCTGCCTTCGGCGCGCCTTCCGCGGTGCTAGCTGCTGGGCCGCGCTAGGCCGAGCTGCTGCCTTCCGCAGCCTGCGGAGGTCCCCGCTGGGCTGCCAGGCTGGGCGTCTGCCTTCCGCAGCCCGCGGAGGTCCCCGCTGGGCTGCTAGGCTGCCCTCCGCAACCCGCGGTGCTTCCCGCAAGGCTGCTGGGCCAGCACGTCCGACGCAGAACCCGTGGATCTCAAACCACGCTCCGCTACCATGCGGGGCACCCCCCGCGGAGCCGCGCACCTCATCCCAATCATATCCTCATAGCTCTTGCAAAGCTGGGGCATGGTCACCAACACAAATCAAAATGCGTCCACCGAGACAATATGATCCTAGATTTTGGTGTTGGTGCTGATCTCTCGGCCACCTAGCTACCATCACCGAGACCGGGAACATACTCCCTCGGCGGAGGCACACCGCCGATGCTGGTGTTGGTGCCAAACTCTAGGCCTCCGATGTGTGCCTCCATGGGGGCCGACCGCTTCTGGGAGAGGCCTGGAAGTTTGGCGCCACGACTCCGGTCGCCCGCCTGTGGGAAACTCCCCCCCGAGACCAGGGCGTGACATTTTTTCCACGACGCGCGACCACGGCAAACTGACCCGGCTCGACAGATGCCGCAAAGAGACGAGGTCTGGGGCTCTGGCCGTGATGGTTTGTAATCGTATTTCTTTTTCGCAACGTCGGAGCCGCTCTGCGAATAGTGGAACGCGCTCGGTGACCAAAGGAAAGGCGCCGCGGCAGGGGTGCCACGACAAGAGCTGGCAACCATTCTTGAAGAAGCATCGGGCTTGGTTCGGGGCGTCAAGACGGTGCGGCGGCAGACCGTGCGGTGGCCTCGAAAGCACCGCACGGTCCGTCACCGCACGGCTCTGGGACCTTGGAGGCCCCAGTCGCCCGAGACATCCTCGGAGCACGAACCAAGTCCCGGGACCGTGCGGTCACCCCGAATCCCCACCGACTCACCACGCGGTGTGGTCACCGCACTCTTTGGGGGACCTAAACGTCGGGTCGCGGCGCAATGCGCCGTGTGGCCATCGTCAGGGCGAGCCCGCCGTTGCAAAGCAGGATTGCGGACAAAGCCGAGACACCAGCGAGGTCGGTGAGAGGCGGAGGAAGCGTGTAATGTCAGATTCTTCCGCTGAACGTAGCTTTGCCGACACAATTCGTGCTTTCGCGGATCCGAACTTCAAAGATTGCGAGCACAAGAACTGACAGCACACAGCGTTTGCCTTTTCTGCTGGCCCCCTAATGAAAATCAACGGTCGCCTTGGTCCCCGCAAGCCCTATGGCCCAGAAGAAATCCGCCTGGAGAATGAGCCAACCAAGACAACCCATCGTGGGACGATGTTTCGGCGAGAACCCCCTATGGGAAACACGTGACTGTGACAACAACAAAAAACAATGACTCTCTGAAAACATATCCATGCTGATTCCGCTTCTCGGGTCCAGCATGCCGCTGGTGCCGGCAGACGCCAGCTGCGCCAATTGCGCCTGCGGGGGCGCGCTGGAAGTGGTTGATGGTGTTCTGATAGGATACAACAGCACAACCTGTGCAACTCTTTCTCATTTGTCCCCCCCTTTGACTGTCAATATTCCGTCGCTATGTGTATACATTTTAAGGAACGTGGCGAAGCAAATTCCAAGGATAGTGGCGAATAAGTTGCCCGCGAATCAGCAGGCTGTTACGAGAGCGCTGGCTTCAGCACAGGCGCTGTGCTCCAACGCCCCAGAGGGTTGGTCACTTGGATGAGGACGATGGTGAGAAGGAGCAGGAGGGGAGGAGTAACGAGATGCGCTGCCCAGGTCGGCTGGCTAGCTGTGCGACGCGCGTGCCATCGCTCATGTGAGTTGGAAACTCGGCGAACTTTACACATCCACACGTACATATACATATGCACCTGTTGTATACACGGGTGATACAAACAATTTTACACTACATACATACATACACTCATATACATATACAACACTTATACATATATACATGCACACAAATGGCATACCACGTTTGTTTTACAAGGCGTACGATGTATATGTACGTATCTGTATACATTTATTTATATGTATAGGTGTACCCGCAGCTCCATGCCATCATGCAATTTGACTTGTGCTCGGTGCTTCTTACATCTCCTCTTCCTCCGTCCTCCCCTCGTCATCCTATCCTCCTCATGAATCTCTCCCGCACCTTGTCTATTATTCTCCACACCCTTCCTCCCTCATCACCCTCATCCGCCCTCCACCATCTCCTCCTCCTTCCCCGCACTTCTCAAGTCAACTGTTACTCAACAGTCCCAGATCCTTCTGAGGCTTGAACTGCACGTGCCATGCGACCTGGCATTTTGCAAGCCTTCCCCGTGTGGGGCACAATCGCGGGCAACGGTGCGCCATTCCACCACCTCCGCCCCTCCCGATTGCAGCAACATGTATTCTTCGGAGGGCCATTGGAGAAGTGCGCGCTCCCCGAAGGGAGACGATCGACCCAGAACTGTCACAGCCCAGAGCCTGTTTTCCGAATCATCCTGTGGTGTTGGGATCCTCGTTTTGCATCCGCAGCACCCCACGTTCACTCCTCCTATCTGCTCCTCCTCCCCCCCTTCTCCCCCTGCTTGCCTGTGATCTCTGTATGCCTACATCGTCATTATCGGCATCATCACCACCACTAACATCACCATTACATCACCGTCATCGTGATCGTCATCAGCATCAACATCATCATCATCACAATCATCATCATCACCATCATCATCACCGTCATCACTACCATCATCATCACCAGCACCATCCGCTACCATTACCGTATAATCACCATCACCACCACCACCATCACTATCACCATCATCATCACCACCACCATCATCATCATCAACTTCATCAGCTTTATCAGCTTCACCATCATCCTCACCATAACCATCACCGTCATCATTGTCACAATCATCACCACCACCACCACCACCACCACCATCATCATCATCATCATCATCATCATCATCATCATCATCATCATCGGCATCGTCATCGTCATCGTCATCATCGTCATCATCATCAGCATCAGTACCACCACCATAATCATGCTCATGATCATGATCATCGCCATCACTATCACCAGCATCAAATAAATCAGCAGCAGCAGCAACATTATCAGCCCCCCCCATTCACGCATGTTTTGCGGCCCCATAGGGAGCGCCACCGAATGCCGCAGTGGCAGGAATCGCTTGCGTCCCCCCCGCCCATTTGGCACACCCCTCACACGTTTCACGCCCTGATAGGGAGCTGCACCGGAGGCCAATGGCAGGAATCATGTGCGTCCCCACGGCTATTTCGGTACGCACCTCACACGTTTCGTGCCCCCATAGGGAGCCATATCGAAGGCGGCAACGACAAGTGTCCAATGCGCTCCCCGCCCATCGTTGACACCCTTCACACGTTTCGTGGCCCAGTAGGGAGCTCCACCGAAGGCCGCAAGGGCGGCAAGAATCACGTGCCCCCCCCGCCCAATTTGGGTACCCCCTTTCCGCGTTTCGTGGCACCACAGGGATCTCCATCGAAGGCCGCAGTGGCAAGAATCAGATGCATCCCCCTGCACATGTCTGCACACTTCTCACACGCTTCGTGGCCCCATAGGCAGCTCCACCGAAGGCCGCAGTGGCAGGATTCCCCCGCTAACTTTGGCACACGCCTTACACGTTTCGTGACCCCTTAGGGAGCCTTACCGAAGACCGCAGTTGCAGGAATGACATGCGCCCCCCTCGCCCATTTTGGCACTTCCAACGCTTCGTGGCACTATAGGGAGATCCACCGAAGGCCGCAGTGGCAGGCATCACATGCGCCCCCTCGCCCATTTCGAGACAGTCCTCACACGCTTCGTGGCCCCATAGGGAGCCTTGCCGAAGGCCGCAGTGGCAGGAATCACATGCGTTCCCCCGCTCATTGTGTCACACACCTCACACGTTGCCGCTCTGGCAAGATGAAATGCGCCCTCCCCACAACTATTGGCACGCACCTTACTCGCTTCGTGGCCCCATAAATGGGGCTCCGAAGGCCCCAGCGGCGAGACTCACATGCGTCCTCCCGCCCGGTGTGGCACGCTCCTCGCACGTTTCGTGCCCCCTATAGGGAGCTCCACCGAAGGCCGCAGTGGCGGCAATAATCACGTGCACCACCCCGCCCTACTTGGGCAACCCCCTCCCACGTTTCGTGGCAACATAGGGAGCTCCACCAGAGGCCGCACAAGCAAGAAGCGCCCCCTCTCGCCCATGCTGGCACGCTCCTCACACGCCTCGAAGCCCAACAAGGAGCCTTACCCAAGGCCGCTGTGGCAGGAAAAACACATGCGTCCCCCCCGACCGTTGTGGCACGCACCTCGCTCGTTTCGTGGCCCCATGAGGAACCTCCACCTGCGGCACGCCTGATGGAACGCGCGCAGTCGTGATACCTCTGGAAACTAACGTATGGGTCGAACGGAGAGATATGGAAGCCCGCCGCCTCGCTCTCGGCGGTTTGAAGTATATATATATAGAGATATACATATATCCTCCCAGAGACACCTTGCAAGGAGTGGAAGACAGAAGCACATAACAGACAGAACCTTTCGGAGCGCCGCTCGGATCTCTTAGATCGGCGCCAGGCCCCCCTCTCTGCAGTCATTTTCTCGTTCTGAGCCCGGCGCTCTCGTTGGGTCCTAGCGCGGCCTTATGCCCCGCCAGGGTGCATGCATCTGCCTTGACCAAGAATCCCCGGTCTTCATCTGGCAGGCGTCGCGCAAGGTCCGCTCATAGGCGACAGCGTGCCCCTTGCCTATTTCTTGTCCCTGCCACTCTCTCACACGCAAGCACAAGCAACACTTGGAAGCGGCGCCAGAGGGACTGCGCTGGATGGGCCTCGAGAAAACTGTTAAAGAGGGGCGAAGGGGTGCAAATTCGCTAAACAAAACATGGTCCCTGGACTCCTCCCGGTGTCGAAACTGCGCTTTTTTTCGAGCCGCGTCCCGTCGTGGCGACGAGGGCTCTCCTTTCTCGCCACTTTTTGTTGGCCAGAGCCAGTGCTGGGCCACCAGTGCCCCCCAAGCCTCGAAACCCTCGAGAAGCTCCAAGCCCAGATACTCGACGATGTGTTTTTTTCCACTGCGCGGCCACACAGCTTCGGACCCCTTCACTAGGGGTAGTGTTGCGTCCCAGACTTACTTCTGATGGCCCAGGGGCCCGAGAACGGGTCCACGGAGGCCGAACTAGAGGACAGATAAGATGGAGCCAAAACGAGGATAACATCGGGTGAGGATAAATCGGGAATCCTTGAGTGCTGGCGGCTCTGCAGAATCCTCAGAGCATTCGGGAACGCTCTGAGAGCGTTCTGGAACGCCCTGGAACGGATCTATCCTTGTCCTGGACCCGCCCAACCCTAACCCCCCATCAAGGGAGGTTTTGGGAGGGGTGTTCCTTGGCCCCCAGGGGTCCCCTCACGCCGCCGTGGGGAGAGAGGGAGGCAGAGGAAGGACTTGGGAGGCAGACCTTCAGACCCGTGCGCTGGAATCTTTTGACACCGGGCGCTTTCGCACTTTTTTCCTTCGACAAACACGCCGCGATTGAACACATCTCATCGCCAGAGATCTGGAGGGACCAGGAGGAGGAGGAGGAGGAGGAGGGGGAGGAGGGGGAGGAGGAGGAGGAGGAGGCGGGAGGATTGGGTATGAGGAGGAGGATTGGGGTATGAGGAGGAGGAGGAGGAGGAGGAGGAGGAGGAGGAGGAGGAGGAGGAGGAGGAGGAGGAGGAGTAGGAGACTGCCCTCCTCGCCAGCGGCCCGCGCGCCCCCCCGCGCGCCTCCTGCAGCTGGCGCTCCGCGTGCTGCTCCCGCAACTGCTGCTGCAGCTGCTGCTGGAGCCGGTAGGGCGCCTGCCGCCCTCCCCCCAACGAGAGAGGGCTGGCTGGCCTCCCTCCTCCGAGAGCGGAGCGCGTCGCCAAACGCTCGAGCTGAGACCCCAGAGCTCCGACGATGCAGTCGACCCGTACCATAAGGATGCACGATGAGGATGCAAGGGCCTTGGAAGGCCATTTCGAAGCTTTTCGAACGGGGCGCAGCCAGCGAAAGCGGCCAAAGATGGACCGAGAAGGCAAAACTGCAAGGGTACCCTTAGGAAGATTGACCATCCTTACTATGCGGGTTGACTGTACAGTCATCGTGCTGCACTCGGACCAAGGCCAGAAAAACATCCCTCAAGAACATGAGACCCTCTGCTGGCCAACACAAGGGTACCCCTCCCCTGGACGCACACAGAACATCCAACAGACACGAACAGTAATTACTAGGGTACCCTCCCCGAACCGACCTCGATCCTGTACCTCGGTCCGACTGTACCATCGGGGACTTTTTTGATTCGCGGGTCGAGAGCGCACTTCTTCCAGTCGAAGCTAAGCGGGCCGCGCGAAGCTTGAATTAACAAAGAGGGGGGGACAGAAGGAGCGCGGCCTCACGGCAAGGCCGGGAGGAGGCAAAGTCTCGGGACCAGGGGGTGCCGAGAGGAGGCAACGCCTCGGGGACGCGCGACGAGGAAAGAAGGGGCTCTTCTGGCCACGGCGGGCCCAAGCCACAAGCAGGCTGCACGACAGAAGTCCGAGGAGCGGCCCGAGAACCCGGGCCCCTCCTGAGCCCCGAGCGGTGCTCCTTGCAGCGTCTTGACTGTCTGCTTTTTTCGGTGCGGATGCTTTTCATGGACGTCGGCATTCGGAGACAGTCTGCGGGCCCTGGGGCCATCCATAATGGGTCCAGGGCGAGTGAAGACTCCCAGGGTCTCTGGGGGCGCGTATTGAAACATCATAACCGGATGTCTGGGACTGACACTGATGGTGCTCGGAGGTCAATCCAGACCGCGGCCGTTAACCTCTTCTGACGGTCCTCGGAATGGGCTTCTTGTTCACCCAGCTTGGCTTGCCGACCTCTGAAATGCAGGCGCCGCAGTTCTCTTTCACACGGGGCTGAGGGGGAAACGACAGGGAGGCACTGGTTCAGGAGGGAAGGGGGGGGCGGCATCGACCTGGAATCGGCGATATATCGCCGATAGGTCGGCGATAGGTCCTGGTAGCGAAAACGCAAGTTGCAGGGCGGGGTGGATTATCAGCCCCCTGTCGACAATGACTGGACGATCGGGCGTCGATGCATCCCCCTGAGCTTGTCTGCCTAACGCAGACTAACTCTGCCGATGAGCCGATCTCGGCGCCCTCGAGGTTGTAGACGAGTTCGTTGGACAATTCTACGTCAAATACCACTGTTTACCACTTTCGAGCTTCCTGGAAAAATTGTTAGAGCCCTAACGAATGTTCGAATCTAGGGAAACGATTCGTTAACAAGGCATAAGCATCCAAAAGGTCAGCCGAGATTTGCTTGGCGTTTGGCCATCTAGCCCGCCGGCGTTCCAGAGTTGCTTCGCATTTGCCAGGAGCACACAAGCGCTCACAGTGCTTTCTAGAACTGCCTTGTGGCCACGAACGAGCCCAGCGCTGCCTTAGAACTGCCTGGGTCCTGCGCAAAGACCAAGGAATACCCAGGAACCGTCTAGTCTGCGCTCGAGCCGAGAAAACGCTGCCTAGGAACTGCCTCGGCGCTGCCTACGAGCCTGAGAAGCGCTGCCTGGCAGCCGCTCCGGAGCTGTGCGCGAGCCTGGGGAGCGCTGCCCAGGAGCTGCGCAGACGCTTGCGGCCCACATGCAGTCGAACCTAGGCCAGGAACACATCCCTCCAGAGCACGAGGCCCTCCGCCGGCCACCCTGCACAGAACATCGAAGGGTACCCTCCCCAGGATGCACACAGAACGTCCAACGAACACAAAGCATGTCAGGGTGCCCTCCGCGAAGCGCCCTCGATCCTGTACCTCGGGACGTGCTGCCCAACTCCGGCAGCGCGCTGCGGGGCTGCCCGGGTGGGCGTCTTCGCCCCGCCTCGGCCCGCGGGGCCCTCGCGCATGGGCCCCGCGCGGGCACGCCTCCGAGGGCGCCTCGGAGCGACATGGAACGATTTCGGCCGAGGGCTCCTGAGATGCGGGCGCCGCAATTCGGGCGTCTGATGCGTGCTCGCCTCGCTTCGGGCGTCTGATGCGTGCCTTCTCCGAGGTTTCTTGTGGCGAGCCTTCGACTGCAGGGGGTCGCCCTCACGACGGCACGGCGACCCTGTGCGCTGACTCGACGCGGCATTCCACGACGGCAGCCCGCCGCCATGGAATGCCGCGTCGGGAAAGAGGGCGCCTGAACCCCGCGACCCTGCGCGGACCACTTGCGCGCGAATGCCCGCGCCATCGACCCCGCTCTTCTGCGCCGCTGGAGGCCTCCCCACTCGGGTCCGAGCAGATGGGGGATCGCGCCGCATCGCCGATGCATCGCCATCTGCTCGGACCCCAGCTGAGAGGCCGCCTGGAGTCGCCCCCTTCTCTGCAGCCTGCCGTCGTCCCCCCACTCCCTGGGCCCCCCCCGCTTCAGAACGCTTGGATGTCAGACCGCCTCTGCTGCTCCCCCCCCCTTGGCCCTGCGCAGAGGGGGGTAGGGAGAGGGGCGGGGAAAGCTTCTTAGGGGGCTGCTTCTTAGAAGGCGCGGGCCTTATCTATAGATGAAAGACCCGCGCTTTCTAAGAAGCAGCCTCCTTCTAAGAAGCCCTCCACCCTATCCCTGCCCCCCTCTGCGCGTGGCCGACAACCTCCTCTCCACTAGACGACAGGGACGGCTTTCCCAAGTGGGCGCTGGGCCATGCTTCTCGCACCTTGGCGTGAAAGAGTCTGGCCCTGGAGGAAAAGGGGCCTGGATCCTGGTGTCCTTCCCCCGGCACGAACTTTTCGCCCCGGGGCCCGCGGAGGGCCCCGGAAGCCCCCGTGGGACCCGTTTCCCTCAGGACCCGCTTGCTTCATGGCGAGTGCCTTTTCCCTGACGCGCGGGAGAGCTGGGGGCACCGCTCAGGGGTGTGGGCAGGGGCCTCAACGCCGACCCGTGTCCACAGCATGTGTTTGTGCCTTCCCCTTCTCCGCCCTCCTGCATCGGGTGAGTTGCCTGGTTTGAGTAGAGCACTGTTGCTCTCCCTTCCTCCCGTCTCCTCCCTCTCTCTCCTCCCCCCCGGGTGCTGCCAGGCGTGCAGCTGTCGCCGCTGTGCCGTGCCCTCTGGGGGGTCCAACGAGGTGACGCCTCACGCAGATCGCAGCGGGGCCTCGCCCTTCCGGGTGCTGCCAAGCGCGCAACTGTCGCCTCTTCCCGTCCCTTTCGCCGTGTTTCTGTATTCGCCCTTCCATTTCCATTCCTACATATGATCCAGGGCTCCGCCCCCGCCCCTGTCCAATGCTAATGGCTGACGGGATCTCCCCCCCCCGCTGGATGGGTACGCCCGTGAGACTCGCGAAAGCATTGCGACCTCGCGAATGGGATCGCCCCTCCCCCCATCACCCTGTGGTAGTGGCGTGGTGGAGGGTGGGCATTCCCGTCGTCGTCGTCGTCGTCGTCGTCGTCGTCGTCGTCGTCGTCGTCGTCGTCGTCCCCCCCATCCCATCTGGGGGGGAGTGGGCCTGTGAACCCTCGAGCGAGGATCATCACATATGTACATATATATGTATGTGTATACATACACATATATATATATATGTATGTATAGGTATATCTCTACATATGTATACAATTGTGTAAATGTATCTGTATATATATATATATATAAATATACACGTCCGTGGACAGTGAAATTCGCAGGTCCTCCATGTGGCTTACACGAGAGACATCATGCCATTTCAGATGTGAATTCGTTTTGGATGGGCCCAATGACATTACCACGTGTTGCACATGGGTTGGGTACGTCTGGGCTTGCCTAGATGGTCTTATTTGTATGCGGAAGAAAGCGGTGGCGCCCCCTGGCGTTTCTTGGCCTGTTGGTCTTGGTTCATTGCTGCGTTCTCGGGTTCCTTGGTCTTAGTTCCTTTCCTTTCCCGGATTCCTCGGTCTTGGTTCCTTGCTGCCTTCCCCAAAATCGATGATCCTGTTTCTTGCTTGCTGCCTTCATCAAATTCTTTGGTCTTGTTGTTTTGCTGCCAGAGGGTTTCGTGGTCTTAGTTCCGGTTTCCAATCAGTCAGTGCCAAGCAACGCCAAGCAACGACTCCACGTAATGCTAAGCAACGCCGCAACGCCAAGCAATGTCTAGCAAAGCTCTACTTTGCAGTGCTTTGTATGCCCAGAACTGCTCTGAATTGCCTTGGGAGAAAGAGGAGGACCAGGGAAGCAAAGAGCCTGGACGAGACGGAGGTATGCTCAGACGGGGGTCCGAATGAGGAGAGCGGAATACGAGGGAGCCAACAGTCGCTGCGGGAGCCGCTCGCTGGAGACAGCTCCGATTCGGCGCAGAGGGGCCTTGGCAGCCAAGAAGCCAAGTGGGCAAAGGCAGGCAACTGGCGACCAAGAGAGGCAAACACGTCACCCAACAACACTGGAGAAAACCTGTTGGCTGCCTCCCGGCCTCTAAGTTGGGGGGGCAACTTTTACGTTCGCCGGATGTCCGCCAGCCTTCGCTGGCGGAGATGCCATCGTTTTGCTCTCGCTGGCGCCCGCCGACACTCCGATAGCCTCCGCAAAGGTCGAGAAACCAAGCAGTGGACGAACTAAAAACGAGCCACTTTGGCGTCTTGCCTGCTACTGGGACGCTTCTTGTTGTTCAAATGGGAAGCACTCTCGCATCTCCAACATTATCCAAGTACGGGGTTTTAGGCTGGCTTTTTTGGGAAGCAGGCGCACGGAAAGCAGACTCACTCAGGCTCTAGGCAGCTCGCGCTGCCGAGCCCTGTGGCCCCCAAAGGAGACAGGAAGAGGAAGAGGACTCCTCCCAGAAGGGCAAGCGTCAACCGTGGGGATATTCAGGGCCAACGCGGCGCCGGCAGCGTGTGCGGGACGCGCAATCACGGCCGCTGCGCAAAAAGTTCGGTGATAACTCACGCGAGCCTCCCATACAATCCTGTCGGCTCTTGCGAATGGACGCT